GTAATGAGGGAGTCCTGGAGGACCTGGAGCGGTCCCTGGATGCAGGCTAGCCGCTGGATATATCTCCATCCCTCAGGCCTCTGAAAGGACCATTCAGAAATGGAGACTCTATGACTCGGATTCCGTGCTCGACCGTCCATGCGTGCTTTCTCAGAAAGCTATCCCAGGCAGGACTACGAGTTAAAAAAATAAATACATCAAGGAAAACATGGATTCCAGGAGCAAGGGATCAGCTAAAAAAGGAAACAAAACAAAACAAGCTCCCAAGAAGACTCAAGTGTGGGAAGCTCTCAGGGCTCCCAGCTAGCCCAGCAAGACACCAGCCCCTGCTGGAGACATAGTGGGACCCCGCCTTTGGGAGCCAGCCAGATCCAGGAGGGTGATGCCAAGGTGACCAGAGTGACCTGCAGAACTGCCCTGCGGAGTGTTTAAAGACCTGGGGGCTGAGGAAATCCACGGCAGAGTGTACATGCAAAACTGGAGCCCGGCAGCCAGGAGCTGTGCGGGGGGGTGGGGTGGGGGAGAACTTGGACTTGAGACACGCAAGGGGCCGTGTGAGCACAACTGCAGGGGCACACACACTGGCTCAGGGCGCTGGGCAGCCCTGGAGGAGGAGTCTGGGCCAGCTTGGGTCCTCCGGAAAAGGAAATCAACACGATTTCCTAACACCACCGCCTGTAAGTAGTCCGGGCGTGCTGCTTAGAAACACAGCAAGGGCCACCCGGGGAAGTTACTAAAGGAGCCAGGGTCCATGTCTTGGGGGCAGAGGGCACAGGCTGGGGAAGGAGTGAGACAGGGACTGCTGGTTTTTGTTATAAACCTTGTCATATACAAGTTTATTTGTATATATATAACATTTACATATCTCTAAATCATTTAATCCTAGCAACCCTACAGGGCAGACTAGAACTACCCTTTGGCTTCCCAAGACTGTCAATCTTTAGGGGAGCAGAAAGCCCAGTCCTTATCCCACACTTTCAGTGACAGGCAATCCTACTTGTTCAAAGATTATGCATAAAAATGTCAACATCAAATGCATGTAGGAAAACCCAGGACAGTGGCAGGCAGTCTCTTGTCGGTAAAGGGGACGAGGCCAGCCCCAGGCTGGTGCCCTGCCCGCCCTGGGGCCCAGCGTTGGCTCCCCGCAGGCCTGAAGGACAGTGCAGGCAGTCACGGTCATGCCAGGCCTCAGGGACAGCAGGAACCATTAAGCAGCTCTCAGGCCCCAATATCCAGCCCCAGCCTCTGGGACCCTCGTAGGGATGAGATTCAGATAAGAGGCCTGAGCACTCTCAGAAGCACCCCAGCCACAGTGACCCCAAAGGCTGGGTCCCACCATATCACCAGCAAGGGTCCGGGGGTCCTGACTGGTCCCCTTGAGGTGCTAGACTGGGCTGGGCAGCTGGGGCGTGGAGGGGATCAGAGAGAAGGGGGCGACAAGTTCCAAGCAAGCACACCAATACTGTCAAGGCTTGGGGTGGCTTAAGAGAGCCAATGTTCAGGAACCTGCTTCTCTGAGCACCCAGCACGCGGTGGGGGAAGATGCCATGTAAGTGACACTCAGCCCCCACCAGGGGGGAAACTGACTTCCTAGCCCTCTGGGATGCAGGACTCAGGGCTGTCACTGGGCCGCCCCGGGCAAGTGGAACAACTGCTAAGCTGTGCAGTGTGTGGGGTCCCGAGGAAACGTGCACTGGGGCACCTGGCTCCGATCCCGCGTGTTAGGACCCGGATGAAGGGCTTTGCCCCGTCACCTGGGACCCAGCAGTCCG